TAATAAAAAAATTAGATTTACATATAAAGTTGAATATCTCAGAAAGTAATTATCCGATTGAGCCTATTTTCAATACGTACCATTGTTACTACCACAGACAACTTCATGCCAAATTTCAAGTTGATATCTCCATTTTTACGGATGCTATAATGCGAACAATGCTTTAAAGTCAAAAAGACAAAAATTGAAATATCTCTAAATTTTGTATAATTGGGTGGAGATATTTTGATTGATCAAGATAGAGGACATCGAGACGAAAATTTGAAAAAAAAATTAGAATCGGTCAACTCGCTATTGAGATATTAAAAAAATTAGATTTACATATAAAGTTGAATATCTCAGAAAGTAATTATCCCATTGAGCCCATTTTCAATACGAAACATTGTTACTACTAGAGACAACTTCCTGCCAAATTTCAAGTTGATATCTCTATTTTTCCGGATGGTAGAGTGTGAACAACGCTTTAAAGTCGAAACGACAAAAATGAAAATGTCTCTAAATTTTGTATAATTAGATGCAGATATTTTGATTGGTCAAGATAGAGGACATCGAGACGAAAATCAGAAAAAAAAATTATAATTGGTTAACTCGCTATTGAGATATTAAAGAAATTAGATTTACATAAGTTGAATATCTCAGAAATTAATCATCCGATTGAGCCCATTTTCAATACGAACCATTGTTACTACTAGAGACAACTTCATGCCAAATTTCAAGTTGATATCTCCATTTTTGCGGATGCTAGAGTGCGAACAACGAGTTTAGGTCAAAAAGAGAAAAATCGAAATATCTCGAAAACTTTTTATGAACGGGTATATATATTTTTATTGATTGCAATAGAGGGCATCAAGGCGAATATTTTGAAAAAAAAATGAAATCGGTTGGGTAGTTCTCGAGATATTTAGGAAAAAACGTAAAGAAACAAATGACTATTTCTCAAAAACTAATTGACGGATCCAGTTGAATTTTGGCATGAAGTTAGTCCCAAATGATTCCAATAGACTGACAAAATTTCAGATTTTTTGGAATCAATTTTCCCGTTTATTCGTTAATTTTAAGAAAAAGTGACCACTGAGTGGACACTATCGCACACAACATGGTCCCCAAACTTCGTATTTTTCCGTTTCAGACCATTCTGGATTGTTTCCAAGCAAAATTAGCAAAAGTGAAAATCGAACGAATGCAAAGCTTCCATTCGGAAGCAAAAAATGAGAATTATTTTTTTCGTAATTTCCAACTATCGATTTTGTTGGCCCAAACAAGACTTGTTTGAGAACTTCATTATTAGAAATTTTTTCAAATTTAAGTAACAGATGCATTTGAATTTCCAATATTCAGAACTTCAATTCAATTTCAGACTAAATTGCTCATGGAATTCCTGATTTATCTGAGAAATTCAATAAAATTAAATTTTTCATGATGAATGATCATTGAATTTTCAATGACAATTTGGATTTTCACACCTATCGCTAAAATCAAGCATTACATTCCATTAGATTTTCAAGAGATTAAAAATTCAGAAGAAAAGTTGCCGGAATTTTCCCTATTTTCAGTAATTTTCATTATCGTGTGAACCTGAGAAATAAAATTTCATTAAATATTCAGTAGTAATGCCACTAGTGCTTCAAAATTATCGGATATTTTCCGATAGCTTCGTTGCCTAGGAACGATTGTGTCAAATTCTGCAAAATTTGACCCACTCGTTCCTAGGCAGGGAAGCTTGAGAAAAATATCCGATTAATTTTGAAGCACGAGTAGTGTTTGACGGATTATTTTTCCACTCGGATTTCGACCAAGCAGAGTGCAGTGAACAGCATCCGGATACATTTATACAGACATACATTTACAACCCATTTTTTTGTTTATCTGTCACACAGAATATTAAACGTGAAATGCGTTGAAAGATGAGAAACATTTGAAAAGCTACTAGTGAATTTCCGTCGGAAATTTTTTAGAAATTTCCGAAATAAAACTGTTTGACAGCCTTAAATATTGCGCTCTGATTGGCTGAAATCTGAGTGAGAAAAATAATCAAGAAAATTGACTGATTTATCAATAATACGATCAATGGAAATTCCACGTAAATTATTTGTTGTTAAAAATTTCAAGATTTTTTACTTGCAATTTCAAGAGTAATTTTCTAAGTGTTGTTCGTCTTTCTCTCAGTGTATGAGCAAGCGTCGATCCATACTACTGACTAATTCAGTTGAATGCAAAGCGCAACTAAGTACTAAACTGATTGCCCCATTTTACAGTCCAGCGCACGCCTCGATCTTTGATTGACTGATAAAGAATTCAATTATTCTTTTCTCAGAATTCTGCCTTTTTCGCGATCTCTTTAATTCAATTTCCCGGCGATATCCAATGAAAAGATAGACAAGTGGAATTAAAATCCTAAGGTTAGTCGTCACGTGACAGTAATTCCATTTCAATTGATTTATTTTTATTTCTCGGAATGGAAATAGATGAAAAAGTACTTCTTCATGCACATGCTGCTCTCATATACGTCACTGGTGCTATGAGACTTCATAATTCGGACGTTAAAAAAATTCAGCTGTGCAATTCCATTGGCGAAGCAACTTCATACTCACTGACACGGAACAATGCATTTGAGATTGAATATTTCAATTTTAACAGGGTTCTTTTGACTGAGTGTAAACGTTCCTATCGTATGCCTCGTGATTCCAATTTTGCGACGGTATTCCGTATGTAGGAGTCTAGAGTTTCGGGGAGTTTGCCAAGGGCTATTGAGAGTAATAGGTGATCGTACTGGGTGGAGTTTACATTCGTTTGATTATATTATTGCCCGAGGGAATCTAGACGATTTTCTGTCTACCAATTTGGAGTTGCTATTTCAATGATGATGATGTAGGAATTGGATTTGAAATGGGATGCTCTGCAGAAATCATAGTGTGTGGACGCTGAAGAACTTTTGAGGGAATGGAGAAGAGAAAAAATTGCAACCTGTGTTTCTTTAAGGGAAGACTAGTGTGAGTTTTAAAAGTCGTGGGTTATTGGAGTGAGACTTTTCATGCGTTGAAGATCGATTTTATAGATCTGAAAACGAATAATTAGTGCAAAAAAAAAATTTTTTATTGTTCGTTTGCCCGAAAACGCTTAAAATGCCAAAAACAGTGCAGGGCCTTCAATTTTTGAGCTACGAATGATTTTTTTTCCAAAATTTTCGGAAAAATATGTGGAATGACAATTACGAGCTATTTTCTTTTAATTCACCTCTTACATGGCTAAATTTGCTTTTTTTGTATTTTTTTACACAAATAGTGAATTTTTTTATATGAAACAAAAACGAAATCCGCTGTGTAGGAGTCGAATTCCAAAAAACTGGCTCGTAATTGTTGTTCCACACATTTTTCCGAAAATTTTGAAGAAAAAATCTTTTGTAGCTCAAAAATTGGAGGCCCTGGACTGTTTTTAGCATTTTAAGCGTTTTCGGGCGAACGAACAATAAAGAAATTTTTTTTGCACTTACTACTCGTTTCCAGATCTATATAATCGATTTTCAATGTATGAAAAGTCTTACGCCAATAACCTACGACTTTTAAAACTCACAGTAGTCTCCCTTTAAAGAGAATTTTTTTTTGCCTCGTCTATTGCTGCCGAATGGAAGTTTCGTAATCTTGTTTTTTTGACGGTCTTCTAATTTTCCCTGAAAATGACAGACTATCATGTAACGTGAAGATACGCTGTTAGAAATTTTTTGAAACTTCATGGAAGATATTATGATAAATCTCATAAGAGTAACATTGGATCGGATTTAGGACAAAAATCGTTATGAAATTTCACAACTTGATTGAATTTTCAGTGGAACATGAATATTCAGAAACAAAATGACATGATTTTTCAATTTTTCCCTGAATTTTGATGAATTTTTCCCAGAATAATTAAACAGAAAAATCAAGTATTTTTTTGATTTCCTGATCATTTGAACAGAAAATCACCGAAATATTTGATTTTTCAATGACAAGATTTCCTGAAATTTCAGTGGGACTTAAACACGATAAAAATTTCTGGAAAATTCAGATGAAAATGTTTAACAGTGTAGAAAGAAATTTAATATTTTTCCCAAAAATTAAATTTTTCTCGTGATCATCAGGAATATCCCTAGAAGAATTCGAGCTGTTGGCAGGAAAAAATATAATCTATTGTACGGCGATCACTTATTTGAGAGAAATCCACAATATTTTTTTCCCAAAAAAAAATTGACCCCTCGAAATTATTCAGTGTTGCCAATCGCAAGAAAATTGTAGTTTCCTCTTAAAATTATCACTTGTCCCATGGACATCATAAGTGTTTATTGGATAAAAATATACACTACTCAGTAATATTCACTCGATAAAACCAGAGTCTCATATAATTCTCCGTAAAACGAATGTATTTCCCTGAAACACCTAAATATCTCACGAAAATTATCATGTTTTGATGGAAACTTTCTTTTTGTCCACAAATAAATTAATTCAATACAAAATATCTCGGCGGAACAAATTTTTTCTCTCTGCGCCTCGAGATTTTTCGAAAGCTGTCATATTTCCGTGGGTCTTGATACCGAGGGGCTAAAAGTTGCTGCAAAAGAGAGTGATTTCACCAGTCCTGAGCATCACGTTTGACGGATGTCAGTCGTTATGCACCTCTAGCCGCTTCTCCCTTTCTCCTTTTAATCAATCAAAAACTGGCACAAACTCGTCGAGTCAGTTTCGATTGCAGAAACCCTCCGAAGTTCTTTTCCACTGCAAGATTCACCTTGCAGCTAACTTTCCCCAAGATTCGTGCCAGGTCAGGTCAAAGTACCGCACAAATCCCAAGTTGTTGTATATACCGCGACATATCTCTGACGTCATCGAGTAATTTCAATTGCGAATAATGCATATTTTTAATGTTCAAGTTCCCCTTTCCCGCTGGAATTAGAGATTTATGTGAAATATGCAAAACCCGACATCAAAAAGCAATTTACATTATATTTTTCCTACTTATTTCTGTTTCAGAGTGCGTGTTGAATATTACGTGAACGAGAATACATTCAAGGAACGGCTGCAACTCTATTTCATCAAAAATCAACGTTCAAGTAAGTTCAAAGCGAAAATATGATGGCCAGGGGCTGATCAGTATTGCCAGAGCAGAGAAAATTTCACTGCAATGCTCTCACTGATGATGGGTTTCGAGACAATCAAGGCGATATTTTTAAAACAGAAACAAAACAAGTGGAAAATTGCTCTTGTATTGCAAATAGTATAGTTGTTTTTGTTAATAAATTAACAATAGCAGCAGCGACGCGATAAAACGGTTTAAGTCGATTTTGACTATTGGTCAGACTGCAGTGAATATCGCAGAACCTAAGGCAGATAGCAAAATTTGTGTTATGACCTTTTTTGTAGAGCGAATTGAGGGCTACGAAACAGGTATGTTTGAGATGAGGATCTAATTTTAGGGCGGATGTGGGAGGTGTTGTTTCAGGATAGGCCGGAAATTAATTAAAACACTGAATTACAAAACGTCACTGTATTTTAGTGGAATCAAACCACTTCGTCAACCGTAAAGTTTACCCTTTGGTTTGAACTTGGTTGTTGAGCGCATCAAATTATAATTGTCTCTGAGAATTCACTCAATTTGAGGTGATGTGCTTTCATGTGATGGTCGGTGATGTACTTTGAATGATACGACACGTTGATTCTACAAAGGCTGATGATGTACTAAATTTTGGGGTTTTCGCGATCGTCTGACCGCTCAACCGAACGTTCCCGATGGTGCTCGAGGATTGTCGATAGGACCGACCATTTAACTGATGGGTATATAGCTACGGTTCAAACAAGGNGAATTATTCCACTTTTCTTTACCTGAGAAAATCGCCAATTTGTAAAATCCGGGAGATATCGGAGAACATTTTGTCAAGGTCATATGTAGCATAATAATCAGATTGTTCAACATCACTGTAATTTTTGAGGATAGACTTGGACTCTCTGAAAATGACTGTCCTGGAAAAATTCGTTCTGAAAAAATATTATCTTCTGACGAGAATATCAATCCTTGGCAGGAATAATTTTTTCTCTCAGTGTATTCTGAAAATTTCGCTATCTCCCTTAAGTTCGATAAAAATTTCCAAAGAGTGTACCGGAAAATTCAGACAAAAAATTTTAGCAGTGTAGTGAACAGTCTGTATTGACTGAATATGCCAGTAATACCATCGACTCCTTCTCCACTCAATTAACGTCGAGCACAGAACGCCACCAGCCGGCGTTCGGGCTCTTTTCCCCCTCACAGCTCTTTTGACGTCCATTCCAGTACTCAGTACACAGTGAGTAGAATTCATCAAAGGTAACACCGTCACGGATCACCTTTAGAGGTAAAACATGCACGATTGTAACGGAATTTCGTTAGTCGGAGGCCTATATGTTATCCCTTTGTACCGCGTAACAAGAGATTTTGATGGCTAGCATTTTTTCGCCTGGAAATAGGATATTATTGATTTTTTTCGGGGTTAATGATGGGATCTTTTCGTGAGCGGAGTCTAAAGGTGAATTGTGACCTTCGAAAATGGCAGCGAGTTTGTGAAGAGGAAAAACAAAGGAGAAAGAGGTTGAATGAGAAACTTTATTTGCTTCAGTACCGACGCGGTAAAACGGTTCACGTCGATTTTCCCCTTAGATTCCGGTTTTCAATGAATATCTCGGTATCTAAGGGGGATAGCAAAATTTTTGCGACAACTTTTTTTGCAGCCCTCAATGTCCTCTATAAAAAAGGGCTGTTTGAAAGGCAACGAGATTTTAGTGTTTTATAGAGTAATTTGCAAGCAAATTCAAGAACAGATCGTCGTCTAATTTCGCATTTAATGGAGACACTTCGGATCGACGGTCAAGTCAGGGGAAAACCCCCGAAAACCTCATGGTATCAATCTACTAATCAGAGAGTATACACCTATTAGTCAGAGAGTCACCTGTTGATCAGCATAATTTTTGGAAAAACATTGTGCCCTATGGAAATGAGGAAGACAATTTTCTAGAAAAATACAAGTTTCATAGGAAAATTTGAAAAAATACAGAAACCAATGAAAATAAGCCAAGTCAGGGCTCAATAAAAAATCAGTAAAGTTAGAACCAACGTTCTTGGGGCGGGTCAGAACATGGGATAATAAATTGATATTAGTCAGTGATTTTGAAAAACATGGGTTCTATCTTTACTAATTATTTATATATTAGGGGAGGGTGGGACAAAACGGCCCCCCTTCAATTGTCAATAACTTGTGAATGACATTGTGAAAATTCCCAGTTTCAACTTCATTTTGAAGATAATTTTTCATTCTTCAAAACGAGCTCTAACTCATCCCAATCGGATTATTGAATCGGAAAATATTGACGATTGAAGGGGGGCCGTTTTGCCCCATCCTCCCCTATATATAATATGTATATATATAGAATATATATATTGGTGATATTTTTTTATTTTTGATATATAACACACAGATAAAAATCCAGATGATCCCACTGACAATGAAAATAATTCAGCGGAATAATCAATTCGACACAATTTACAATTTATTATTTCTAATTCTTCACGTCGACTTTAGATATTTGCGATTAAAAGTCTGAAAATTTTTCTCTTTATTTTATTTTTTACTCTACTAAAAAAATTGAAAAGAATAAAATTCATACGAATCCGACTCATTTTTTGAAAATCTACTAGCCTATCGACGGCGCGCCGAAAGCGCGCGACCTATTCTAGTTCCTCAAAAACTAGCTGACGCCTAAATCTTTTTACTAGCGAGGGAAAGGAATATCTTGAAAAAGAAATTCATTAAACACGATTGATACTTTTTATTCAGTAGTACACTTTGAACAGAATTACATTAGAATGAAGCAAGACCACCGAAAATATGTATCACGTTTCAACGTTTTCGTTCTGCGATTAGTATTAAACAGAAATGTCATCAACATCCATGTACTCAGTCCTGTTGAGCGAAGTGATGCGAAAACTGATAAATCCGCCGTATCCTTCCGCTGATTTGAGAAAGAAATCAATACCAGTTAAGGGTACAGGTGGACGCGCTGATATTTTCAATCCATCCAGGAGAGGTACCACAGTCTGCCCTGCGTCTTTTTCCAGACTTGTTTTTTCCAACTGTACCCACCTATTAGGCTCAAATATGGGTATTGTTGGTGGAGTTTCCAACGGATTCTCGGTATCTTTCTGATTTTGTATTTGTTTCCTGTAGCATAAAGGTCATTGGAGTCATTAAATGTCAAAAGGAAATTTAGAATTATAAGACAATTGCACTCTAAAAAAAGATTACTTCTGATAAGTAGGAAAACTACTTGTATTCAGAACCGAGGCGTTTCTGGAGAAAAGCTAATTTTTTTACTTGGTCCAAGTCGAAAATCGACTGAATACAAGTTTTTATGCTCCAAGTACAATTATCACTGGTGACAAGTACCAACTGTACTCATCATCAGTACTGAAAGTACTTGTACTGAGTACCGAGCTGTACTTCTCAAAAGTAGAAAAAATACTTGAGACAAGTAGTAATAGTA